GCTGCTATTGTTCATGCCTTGAAGATCTGGCGTTATTATTTGTACGGCGTGCCTTGTGAGATTTACACTGATCATCGGAGTTTGCAGCACTTGCTCAAGCAAAAGGATCTCAATATGCGTCAGAGGAGGTGGTTAGAGCTGCTGAAGGATTATGACATTACTATTCTGTATCACCCTAGCAAGGCCAATGTAGTGGCGGATGCCTTGAGTCGCCAGGCGGAGAGTTTGGCATATTTACCAGCTTCAGAGAGGCCTATGGCGATGGATGTTCAGGCCTTAGCCAGCCAGTTCGTGAGATTGGATCTTTCGGAGCCTAGTCGGGTTCTAGCTTGTGTGGTTTCCCGGTCCTCCTTATTTGATCGTATCAGGGAGCGGCAGTATGATGACCCTCATTTGCTTGTGCTTCAGGACAAGGTTCAGCATGGAGATGCCAGAGATGTGACCATTGGAGATGACGGGGTATTGAGGATGTAGGGCCGGATTTGTGTGCCCAATGTTGATGGTCTTCGAGAGTTGATTCTAGCAGAGGCCCATAGTTCGCGGTATTCCATCCATCCGGGTGCCGCGAAGATGTATCAGGACTTGAGGCAGCACTACTGGTAGAGGCGGATGAAGAAGGATATAGTTGGTTATGTGTCTAGATGCCTCAACTGCCAGCAGGTGAAGTATGAGCACCAACGCCCGGGTGGGTTGCTTCAGCAGATAGAGATTCCGGAGTGGAAGTGGGAGCGCATCACCATGGATTTCGTGTCGGGACTCCCACAGACCTTGAAGAAGTTTGATTCCATTTGGGTCATTATGGATCGGCTGATCAAGTCCGCTCATTTCATCCCTGTGTGAGCGGTTGGCGGAGATTTATATCCGGGAGATTATCCGTCTGCATGGTATTCCAATTTCTATTATTTTGGACAGAGGTACCCAGTTCACATCGCGGTTCTGGAGAGCCGTGCAGCAGGAGTTAGGCACTCGGGTGGAGTTGAGCACAGCATTTCACCCAGACGGACGGACAGTCCGAGCGCACTATTCAGATTCTTGAGGATATGCTCCGTGCGTGTGTGATTGAGTTTGGAGGGTCTTGGGATCATTTCTTGCCACTGGCGGAGTTTGCTTACAACAATAGTTATCAGTCTAGCATTCAGATGGCGCCGTATGAGGCTTTATATGGTAGGAGGTGTAGATCTCCGATGGGTTGGTTTGAGCCAGGTGAGGCCAGGCTATTGGGCACAGAGTTGGTTCAGGATGCATTGGAGAAGGTTAAGACGATTCAGGATAGACTCCGTACAGCCCAGTCCAGACAGAAGAGTTACGCGGGCAGGAAGGTTCGTGATGTTTCATATATGGTTGGTGAGCGGGTTCTGCTTCAGGTTTCGCCTATGAAAGGCGTCATGAGGTTTGGGAAGAAAGGAAAGTTGAGTCCGAGGTTTATTGGCCCTTTTGAGATCTTGCGGCGAGTTGGGGAGGTTGCCTATGAGCTTGCCTTGCCTCCCAGTTTGGCCGAAGTTCATCCGGTATTTCATGTTACTCAAGTGTTGGATTTCATTTCACTCCAGTTGGACAAGGATTTATCCTATGTTGAGGAGCTAGTGGCTATATTGGATAGACAGATCAGAAAGTTGAGGTCAAAGAACATTGCTTCAGTTAAGGTTTAGTGGCGGGGTAACCCGGCCGAGGAGGCGACTTGGGAGACCGAGCGGGATATGCGCAGCCAGTACCCTCACCTTTTCACAACTTCAGGTATGTTCTCTATGCTCGTTCGAGGACGAACGGATGTTTAAGTGTAGGAGGATGTGACGACCCGACCGGTCATCTTAAGAATTAACGCCCCGATCCCCCATTAACTGCTTCCCCTAAGTTCATTTATGCTATTTTGGTTTGCCGGGACGTTCGGTGTTGAGTTTCGGAGAGTTTGGGACACTTAGTCCCTAAACGAGAGCTTAAGTGTGGAAAAATGGTCTGTAGTCGGAACAGTGTGAAGACGACCTCGGAATGAAAATTCGATGGTCCCGTTAGCTCCGTTAGGTGATTTCGGGGTTGGGAGCGTGTTCGGAATGTATTTTGGAAGTCCGTAGCTCATTTAGGCTTGAAATGCCGAAGTTTGAATTTTTGAAGTTTCCGGCCCGATAGTGAATTTTTTGATCCGAGGGCCGGAATGGAATTCCGGAAGTTGCAGTAGCTCCGTAATGTCATTTGGGATGTGTGTGCAAAGTTTCAGGTCATTCGGACGTGTTTTGGTTAGGTTTTTGATCGAAAGCGTATTTGGAAGAAATTTGAAGTTCTTAGGCTTGAATCATTGATTAAATCGGGTTTCCGGTGTTGTTTTAGGTGTTTTAAGGATTGGTACAAGTTTGAATAAGGTATTAGGTGGTATTGGTGTTTTTGGTTGAGGTCCCGGGGGCCTCGGGATGGTTTCGGATGAGCGACGGAAGAATTTTGAAAGTTGAGAGGTAGTAGTTCTGCTGCTTTTGGTATCTTTTCGCTTCTGCGGCATGGGAACCGCAGGAGCGGAGCCGCAGAAGCGGCCTTGGTCACCGCAAAAGCGAGTAGGGGCATCCTCTTCAGGAACCGCAGAAGCGGCAGGATTTCCGCAGAAGCGGGCCCGCTTCTGCGAGATAGGAACCGCAGAAGCGGAAGGTCGGATTTTTAAAGAGACCGCAGAAGCGGCTTGGATTCCGCATAAGCGGGACCGCACAAGCGGTCCCTTGGTCGCAGAAGCGGTAATCCCTGTTCAGAAATAAGAAATTCGAGGGTTGAGTTCAAAAGATAGAAAAATCAATTGAGAGCTCGGGAGAGGGCGATTCTTGGAGGGTTTTGAAGAGAAGATCATTGGGTAACGTTTTCTTAATCCTATTTAGTTGTATTCCATCAATATCTAGTTAAATCCATCATGAGAATTCGAATTTAGGATCAAAAATTGGATAGTTTGGGGAAAAACTTCTTAGACCTAACTTTTGGATTTTGTGTGGGCATTTGACCTCTGATTTGGGAGATTTTTATATGGTTAGACTCGTGAGAGTACGAGGGTTCTGAAAATGTGAAAATTATTCGGTTCCGAGACGTTGGCCTGAGGGGCGTTTTGGTCATTTTACCTATTTTCGCGCCTTAGCTTTAAATTTAATAGTGGAATTAGTTGTTTGCAATATTACTTACGATATGTAATTGAATTGAATAGATTTGGGCCATTTGGAGTCGGATACTCGTGGCAAAAGTGTGATTTCGAGTTGATTTTGGTGCCGATTCGAGGTAAGTGGCTTGTCTAACCTTGTGTGGGGGACCTTTCCCCTTAGGATTTGTTATTTGAATTTTGAGTGCCTTGTACGTGAGGTGACGAGCGCGTACTTGAGCCGATTGATGAAACTTACACAAATGTCCCAAATAAGTCTCAACTTACAAACCTCTAGCCATTAATCATAGACTTACCAAAACTAGCCAATCACATATAAAAATTGAAAACCAAACAAATAAGGTTCTTTCTCTCAAAGAATCACATGCATAAATCTCCTTCCATATTTTTAAGCGTGATTAGCAACATTAGATGCAAGACGAAAAGGAATTTCATGGATTAGGTAGCAAATAAGGTGATGAAATACAAAAAGAAAATACAATATTCCAAAAATCTAAGCAAAAAAGGAACTTTTTCAATGTGTATAGTTGAAATTCATTGAAAACATATAGATAAGTCAATATACAAAATTTGAGGAAGATTCGAGGTGATTTGGACTAGTTTTGTATCAAAATTCTTAACTAAATCGAGTTCAAAAAATTCTTCTGCGACACATGTATCAAACATGTATCACACATGTATCTCACACACAGATATACATGGATATACATGTGATACACAATTGATACAACTATGATACATATGTTATACACAAATGATACACAGTATAATACAACATCATTTTTTTCATGTTCAGTTTTTATTTCGAATTTTCAATTCAAACCACCTCTAAACTTCACCAAATCATCCCAAAACTGAGATTCAAGCTCCTTAAGATGTACCCAATCTATTCTAATAACACCCGCTCAAAAGAAAGTAAAAAATTGACATTTTTTTTGTTACAAATAGCTAATTGGCTGATATTAGTAATAGTTGGTTAATATTAGTAATATTTTTTGAATTGACCAATTTTTGTGATGAACTACTTATAAATGGACATAGATGGTAGTTTTCCAATATATATAACTTCAGTGTCACGCGGTTCGTTTTAGTGTTTGTCCAAACATAATTCATTCATTAAGTTGCCTCGACTTAATTTGCTTCATTTTTCGTAGTTTCTTAGTCCGAGGTGACTAATAATTTATAGTCTCTTTCTTTGTCCCAACAGTAGTTTTTACTTGATATATAATTTTATCTAACCATTGCAATACTATGTTTGTGCATTTTTAAGATATTCTTGGTAAGATCGACCAAATTAATTATTTGCTCTAATTTTACTGATTTAAATGTAACTCCATCTAATAGATGGCATCTACGAAACTAGGGGATATTCTTCGGTCGCATACTTGATGCTCTACTTGTCGAACTTTGAATGTTACTCCCTCCGGTCCAAAATAAGTGAGTTTTTGGCCTTTTTCTTGTGGTCCAAAATAAGTGATATTTTCAGATTTCAAGAATGAATTAATTATTTTTTTCCTACATTGTCCTTGGAGTAAATAGTGTTGGAATATGTGTTAGGAGTGTTTATGTGAGATAGTAATATGGTCAATTCCATTACTAATTAATGCTAAAGGGTAGATTTCTTAATCTGAAAAATCACTTATTTTGGACCGGAGGGAGTAATAATATTTCGATACAACTTAGAATATGTCATACCTCTAAATGCAAATTGTTAGTTGGGCAAAATAGATTTAAAAAAAAAAAAAGAGCTTTTACATGACCCGGGTTTGCCCGCCCCGGTAACCAAGTCGAGGAAAGCCATAGGGTGCACAGAATAATCGAACCTCACCTCTATACAAAAGCCACGTAGGCATCTTTCTCCAAAACCTCGTGGCCCAGGGTTTAATTGAGATGCACACTTTCTCCAATAGTCAGTCGACACTCATAGTTCTCAGTTGATGCTGCAGCCATGAAGCTCCTCCGAACCCTCTCTGGTACTCTACTCAAAATCTCAATCTCTATTCTCTTCATATATTTTGATTTTTAATAAAAATGATACTCCTACCACTGTTAACGGATTTGTTCTTTCTTCAAAATCGTTTTTCAGGACCCAGAAATCTACTGGTTCGAACTATAGGGCGTCGATACTTCGCGGCCACACCGGAAGAATACGCCAAGAGAAACTACGCTAACAATGAGGCTGAATACAGCACTGTTATTAGCTCTCTCACTGCTCAGCGAAGGTAATTTTTTATATAATTACTCCAATTGATTAAGGCGTAATTGATTGATTTGAATTACGGTTCATTTTTATGTATGAATGTGAATTAGGCATTATTTGTTGAGGGATGTTTATGATGACATGATGCTGGATGGTGTAAAGCCAGAGAGAGATACATTTCATTCACTTCTTATTGGGACAATGAAAGGTGCTCGCTTGCAAGATGCTTTCTTTTTCCGCGACGAAATGAAAGCTATGGGCTTGGTCCCTGATGTATGTCTCCTTCCTATGCTTGCTTATATTGCTTGCCTTTCAAATTTGTATAGAGTTTACATATTTGTTGAATCACTGAATTATCAACAAGAGTTTACACGATATGAAGTGAGAAAGAGACAAGAGAGAGAGAGAGAGGAGGAGAGAATTGGGGAGAACTTCTTAGCTTTCTCTATAAGCACTCCACAATGAACACATAACCAACTACAGTTAATTACAACGCCTATTTATACAAGTAACTAACTACATATGACTTTTTTTTTGATGAAGTAAGATAATATCATTGAAAGGGCATCAGGAAGATGCCAAATTACAAGAACAGAAATTATGTTACCTCCCGTACAAAGACAAAAAACATTGTAAGCTCCAGTACAAGAGTACCTATGCTAGAACCATGGAGCTAACAAAATCCAAAAAAGTGTCAACGCTATTAACAGGGGAAAGAAAGTTCCAACTGAACAAACTAACTAATCATCTAGCTTTTAGGGAATGTGTTGGAGTTGATATTCCATCAAAACATCTGCCATTTCTTTCCTTCCAAACAATCCAAAATATGACTGCTGGGGTCATTCTCCATATTCTTTTGATGGCTTTGTCAACTCTCCAAAAGATCCAGCTAATATAGGCTTCCTTGATGGTGTGAGGCATGATCCAAGTTATACCAAAAATGGATAGGAAGAAGTTCCAAATATCAGCAGTGACTGGGCAATGAAGAAACAAATGGTTGACACTTTCTGATCTCTGTTGGCATATATAACATCTGTTGACTAAAGTAATGCTCCTTCTGCTAAAATTGTCCTGTGTTAAAACAGCTTCATTGAGGGCAGTCCATGTGAGGCATGCTACTTTGAGTGGCATACTGGTCCTACAGACATGTTTCCAGGGCCAATCCTCTAGTATTCCATTATGTGAGCAGATAAGGTTGTAGCCCTCTTTGACTGTGTACTTTCCTTCTTTTGAATTCCCCCAGATGATTCTGTCTGGTTGTTGATCTTCCGTGATGAAATCTCCCAGTGTGGCTAGGAGAGCAAGTAAGTCATTGATTTCCCAATCCTGAAGATTTCTTCTAAACACTGGATTCCAAATGTTGTTCTCTCTGTTTTGAGCAATTTGAGTCCTGATTGCAGGCTATTAGGTATAGACCTGGGTATGAATCCTTTAGTGCTGTATTACCAAGCCATATGTCTTTCCAGAATTTCACATGAACACCACTACCAACTTTGAATGATGTATTCTGAAAGAAATCATTTTGAAAGCTGCTGATGTGTTTCCATAAACCCACTCCATGAGGTGCTGGACTTTTCTTGGGGCTCCAGTGATTCTGAATTCCATATTTGGCGTCAATGATCTCCTTCCAGTAACGTGCTTCAGTTTGTCCATACCTCCATAGCCATTTCATTAGCATACATTTTTTGTGAAGCCTAAGATTCCTGATACCCAATCCCCCGTAAGACTTTGGTTGCGTTACTTTTGGCCACCTAACAAGTGAAAATTTGTGAGTCTCACTGTTTCCTTCCCATAAAAACCTTCTTCTTAGCCGGTCTAGTTGTAACTACATATAACTAAATACTAACTCCACCTAACTACAACAATTGACTTACTACTTCAGCTGGCTACAGTTAAGCTGACTGCACCTCGGTTAACGATGGTTAGGCTTAATTGACACCACTACAATTACTGCAGCTAATATCCTTTACAGTTGATTTATATGTAAGCTATACCCAGCCTTGAAGCTATTATAACAACAAGCGTTGTTTTCCCCCCCAATATCACAGGTTGCTTTGTACAATTTCATGATATCTACATGTGGAAAATGCAAAAATTCGGAACAAGCAGTAAGGGTATGTTTCCTTACTCTGTCTTGCAGTGTTATCGTGCTTCATTTTTTTTCTGAAATTATCAACAATGATAAGATTCATTGAAATAATTACTGATGTTTTTCTTCTTTGTAAGTAGCTTTTGGAAGAAATGAAGAGATTTGAAGTCAAGCCTACTGGACAGACCTATATCTGTCTCCTCAATGCGTGTGCAGCTGCTGGTCGGGTAGACAGAGTGTAAGAAAGCTGCTCGCTGGTTGCAACTGTATCTATTGCTAGTACACAATTGGTCGTGCGTATATTTGAAGGCATATGTCGATATCTGTTTAGTTAGTTGCAACTGTATCTATTACTAGTACACATAGTGGATAGCCTGGAATGCAGCAAATTATTAGTAACTACACGGCATAACACCTTGATACGATTAGAGTTCATTTGACTGAAAGAATCTGCTTATTCAGTGAAAACAATATTTGATTAATATGCTATAGCAAGTCCCTGGATGCCGAACCATAAAGTTTCTTGCAGCGTCAAAACTTCTCTGCTCTCCCTGTTGATGTTTCAGTGTCAACTTTCATCCAATCTTTCCAAAACATGATGTTAAGTGGTTTATTTTTCTGTTGGATTCATAATCTTCGTTTACTCCGGCATCTGATTGGCTGCCCTTCCAACATTGCAGGTATGCAATTGTTAGGGACATGACTGCTGCTGGTCTTGGTCTTAATAAATTCTGCTATGCTGGACTTATAGCTGCTCACAAGAATAAGGAACCTGTCACTGATGATGTAGCTTCCAAGGTGCGTAACAAGTGCATCCATGTGCTTTTACAAATTTTCCGTTTTTTTGGTATGTTAACTTATTTTATTTTGTTATTTTTTGGAGAAGATTCTTGAGCTAGTTGAGCAGTCCAAGGGTTGGTCGGCAGTTGAAGCACCTAGTGACATTCCAGTAAGATCCATGATGGGCATGTCTGAAGAAGAACTTTACAATATCCCAACTGCTGAGTTTGTTTTCCGGCGTGGTGGATTTTTAAATAGGGAATTCACCGTTTATCATGTTGCATTTCATGCCTGTGCAGACCTAAAAAATGTGGAGGTACCATATTTGACATCCACTAACAAGATCATTTGTTGTGATTCAGTTTTTTTAATAGATATGGCCCAAATCTTTCTGGTAATTCTTCCTGTAAAGTATCCTATCATACACTTGGCATTCATTTAATTTAGATGTTCTAATCCAACATATTTTCTGCACTAGGCTCCCCCCCAAGGCGGGCCTCAGATTCAGTAAGTGTCTTAAATAATTGAGTTTTGAGATAGACCGAAAATTGTTTAATTGCTTAAACGTGAAGTAAGTTTAATACTTTCAAAGCCTAGCACTCAGAATTTATCTACTCTAGTCTTTATTTCAGCAAGTCCTTTGCAGGAATTCTTTCTATGAGAGAAAAAAAGAAGTGAAATAAGCCATGTTTGAATATTGAACTCAATCTTTTGAAGAAAACCTTAGTATGGTGTCAGGACTTTTAAGTTATAATGACACCAATGGATCATAAATCTCTTAATAGTATAAGCAAAGTCAGTATTGTTAGGGATCAGATCAAGGTTGAATGTAGTATTTTCCCTCCTATGTAAAAGTCATTGAAGATTTTGATGAGATTTTTTTTTCCTAAGTCTTTGACAAGTAAACAAACCTTTTATTGAAACAATTAAATCACAAATGTTATGATGTGAGTTACATCATAGCCTTATGAAAGTGACAGTTTTCCTTTCTATGTCTTGAGAGTGTTAAGTCACAATGATTATCAATTTCCCGAGCCTTGTCCTAACAGTACTTGATATTGCATTTCCGTTCCATTTTGTTATAAACGCCGTGTTGTTAAAATTGAAGGAGTGCTAGAGGTCCAAGCGGTGCTTATGAGTTTCTTTTGTGAAAGGAAGATAACAATCCTTGTTAGGTTGGTCTTAACATTATTGTCAGTGGTTGCATAGCTACGTTAAGCCTTTGTGCTTTAAGTATCTACCTACTGCCACCTTTTGAGTTTATCTATGAAGCACGGTCATCCTTAATAATTTGTCAATCTCTATTTGATCTTATGTTTCTTCTTCACGGCAGGCGATTGATGCACTTCTTGAGATGCTTAGCAAAGACGGTAAAACACCTGATGTGTTCATTTTGATGGAAACCATGAGGTATTGTATAGTATCCTCCTTCCAACTGTTTAACTCTATAATTTGGTTAAAAGGTTTAGAGTATTATAAATCTCACAATCCACATAGAGGAGAAATTAAAACTCTGTATAGGATTTAAGCAACTAAAAAGGGAGATAGGGGACTTTTAGTCAAAGCATTAAATTATTAAGTCACACATAATGTAATTGCACCATGAAGTATGTCAGAGTTGGTTGCCAGAGATGCTGTATTCAATCATAAAGGTTCTTAATGTTGGATGAGACAGGGTGGTCCAAGTATTATTAGGCTCTCTGATGATAATTCTAAAGTTTTTCATAGTTTCCTTCAAGGAGGCATTAAGCTTCATATGTTATGACTCTGATGGTGTTGTTCAACTGGCATTTGAACATAACCGGTGGACTTTCATAAGAGCACATATTTTAGTTCCACAAAAAGAGCAAACTAAGCAAACAAGAAGTATACAAAATTCAGAAACCCTTTGCAGATAAATGGATTTCTGGATATCTCCTTGGACGTTGAGCTTTTCATCTACGAATTTCAAGCCAATCAAGATGAAACCACTAACTTTTAATCCATAATATTTCCTCTTCCTCTTTCAATATCTATAGGTAAGACTAGACACCTTTACCAAGAGATAATACTGTAGAAAGGAGCTCTTGCCAAAAGAAAAAGAGGTTCTTGGACAGACGTGTTCGTATAGGGATGGCTTAAGTATTTCTCAGGAAACATATCCATAATTGGTATTTTACTTCATGGATGAGTTCCAAGTAACCACAGTTGGCTCAAGCAAGTGGGGAGGAGAAGGGGAAGCGAGTGGTGGCTTAATTGATTTACTTTGATTTGACATCCCTGATCCCTCCTGTCCTGTTGTTTGGTCTAGTTGGAAGGTAAGTGAAAACTGTTTACATCCCTGATCCAATAAACACAAGTTACTGAAAACTTAAAAAAAATCAATGGTATTTCAAATCTTACATGTGATGTGAAAGTGTCAGCTGCAGTTCTCTGTATGTTGTTGGAAATTAGAGAATTTTTCAGTCTATAATTCTTCTCTTTGATTCGCTCCCATGTGTTTAATTTTGTGCTTATGCAGGTGTTATCTTCATTCTGGGGATCTGCAACGTGGTCGTAAACTTTTTGAGGACTACATGAGTTCGGGAAAACCACCTATGATTGAATTATATGTGGTAAGTTCCAAAATACATTTAGGTATGGTGTGTTTGATTATGTTCCAAGAAAGACAATGTTAACTCTAATCAAACACATCATACCAGTGTCTTCATTCTAACCTTTTGTAATCGAGCTAACATTGTCTTTTTCTTTTTCTATTCCTTTGCTCCGAAAATTCTGAATTTTGCATCTTCTTGATGCCTTCTATGAAATCCATTAACTTATTCCCCCCCCAAAAAAACTTGCCCCATAAAGTTGGCGTTCTATCACAACATAACACTACCTGTTAAAGGACTTGGTACTTTGGTGTATCTTCCTGCAGCTGTCATCTTAACTCAGGCATGCTCTCGTTTAGGTGGATTTTCTGCTATGGTAGAAAGCCTGCAGAAAGCCAATTTATGTGTGAGCTTATAGAAGTAATTAGTTGAGTAGGAACCTTCTCCGTGCTGATTCTCAATTCTCAACTTTTATTTGGCTGTAGACACTTGTTGAGGGAGCAATGGTCGGTTACACTCCTGATGGGATGCAACTCGCTCAAGAGACACTGGTATGGTGTGTTTGATTATGTTATAACAGTTTCTCGTTATGTAAGAGTGGATTCCATTTGATAAAATTTCTCACTTGTGCAGGTAAACATGAACTCCAGGAACTTCTTCCTGAGTCCTAAAATGGGAAGTGATCTCCTTCTTGTTGCTGCGGGTGAAAAGGTGGGAAAGCAGAAAAGGAATAACTTTTAGCCCTTACCTTTCTCTTACATTTCTCTTTTCTCATCGGTCCAGAAGTTGAAAGTAGCGGAAATGAGGATGTTGAGATGGATGTGTGGGCATATCAGGAGAGATAAGATTAGGAATGAGTATATTATCGACAAGGTGGGCGTGGCTCCTGTAGAAGATAAGTTGCGGGAATCGAGGCTGAGATATTTCGGGCATGTGAAGAGGAGAGACCCTGATGCTCCATTTTAGAGGTGTGAGAGGTTGACCATGGCGGGTCAAATGAGGGTTAGAGAGAGGCCTAAGAAGTAGTGGAGTGAGGTGATTAGGCAGGACATGGTGCTACTTTAGCTTACCGAGAACATGACCCTCGACCGGAGGGTATGGAGGTTGAGGATTAGGGTTGGGTTGACATGCAGTCTAGAGTTTAGTCTAGGCACCCCAGTAGTATTAGTACTACTCTTGTATTTTGCTATTCCTAGCCCCTTTTGTCAAAATTATAGACCAGGTATTTATTCCTTTCCTTCAGGGATTTCTCGGGGGGTTAATTTCTCGGAGCAACCCCCCAGGTTCTAGACCCAGGAGTCAACTTTCCCGTATGAGCATTCGGTACATGTATCAGTCAGTCCCCGCGTCCTTTTTTAAGAGATGGAGCAATTGTCACTCGACAGCTCAAAGCTGAGCTATTTCACATTGTGACATTATTTTGACTCTATTTTTATAGTGTCGTATTCTTAGATCTCTGTTATTGCACGTATCTCCATTTGTGCCCATGTCTAATTACCTTGTTGCTGCTATTGTTTCTCTATTGCTTCATTTTCATTTATCTTGAGCCGAGGGTCTTTCGGAAACAACCTCTCTACCGTCATAAGGTAGGCGTAAGGTCTGCGTACACTTTACCCACCCCTGACCGTCATAAGGTAGGTGTAAGGTCTGCGTACACTTTATCCTCCCCTGACCCCACTTGTGGGATTTCACTGGGCTTGTTGTTGTTGTTGTTGTTGTTCTCTTTTCTCATCACACTATCACATATGTCAAGTTATTTAATTTCTTAACTGTTTGCAGACTGGTGGATATACTACCGCCAATCTGATATGGGACATGATGCAAGCTCGTAAAATTATACCAACGTTTCCTGCTGTTCAAGCATATTATGACGGCTTGAAGGTGAGTTTTGCGTTACTTGATGACAATTCCATTGGTTCTTCCATCACGTGAGGGAAGGGCAATTATTAGATAATGCTAAGATTGTAGATTGCAAGCAGCTCTTAGATGCTGTAGACAATGTCCTTTGCTGCTCTTACTATTGACAACCAAAATTTCCAAGTATCTTTTTTACAAGTCTACCAGATAACCGATTAGGATTCAACCCAAAGTATATTCATATCTTATGGTTTGTCTGGATCAGCAGTAAACTGCATGTACTTGCATTCTTTCAATTTGATTTTGTTGAAAGGTTGAAATAAGATGATGCAAAACCAGTGAGCTATAGTCGTTATTCAAAATTAATAACTTCTCCACCCGAGATGCATCCGGAAATAGGACACTTCCATTCTGATGTATGTGGTCATAATTTTTGGTAATTTCTGTGCATTTCAGGTTCGGGAGATACCAGCTGATGATCCAAGACTGCAACTAGTTTCTCGAACCTACAATAATCTGAGAAAGAGGTTTGGTGGGGGAGGTGGTGTGGGAGCTGGACGACCGTAGACAGAAGATTGAGGCCGTACAGCAGCTACATTGCCCCGAACCACTGGGTTCTTTTTGTACCTTAGGATGTCTGCCTTTTCTTGTTATTCCATAATTTTGGCCATTTGTTCATGTACCCAAGTCGAACAGATATATAGATTAATTGACTTGTTACGGAGATAATGGGATTTATTCACTACCTGCTAGTCATACTGTTTCTTGACTACCTAGCTGTGGAACGTGCGCGGTGTAGAATCAATGTGCTCGGGGTGAGTTTGGTTTATTATACATCTATTTTCACATATGGTTCGTAAATAAGTACGAGGGTACTAACATTAAGAGAAGAAATAATCGCATTCAATGCAATTGTCTAAAAGGAGTGCTTTCTTTTTTTCCTATTGAAATAAGTGGGACTTCTAATTTTTCATAATATGTAACTCAACAGGCTATACACGGTTTTGTTAACCAAAACGTTTGTTCAATTTTAACTCTACAGACTATAGAGTGAGAAAAAAAATATTGATAAGCAAAATTATGAATAACGTTCGTGGAGAAGAATTAGTCGTGAATCCTGATCAAGATCGTGCATCTTTTCCTTATAGGGCTTATTCCTATATTTTATAGAGCAATTATGCTATCTTTTGTTCTTTCTCAGTAGTTGCTCTTTCTAAAATATACTACATCAACATTCTAATGTGCTCAAAACTTTGAAGAAAACCTTATATGTTAGATCTCTCTCTAACAACATCGCTATGTTAATAATTCATTATAAAAGTCAGTTTTTCAATGGAACTAAATTTTATGCTATGTTATAATATATGTTCTCTATAACAGTACTTCGTTATAATACAGTCAGATCTCTCTATAACAACATCCCTATATAACAGCCATTCAGAATAAAAGCTAAGTTTTCCTTAAAACCGAATTTTAAGTTATATTTTACCTCTCAATAACAGCTTTTTACCTATAACTGCAACAACCATATTTATAGTGGAATGCTCTTTGTAAAATTATCCCTCCATAACAGCTATATAGAATCTTTAAGATTACTAATAACAATTCTAAATATGCACAAAATCTTTTCCATTTAACAAAGTTCTATCTTGCATAAGACACAAGATTTGAAGATCTGCACATAATATATTTTTCATTGGTTATCTTTTTGCTGAAAATTTGGACATGAATCTTCGTCAATTCAAGCGTTATATCAGTTGTAAGAGAATGAAATCTATGAAACAGCTATAATTAAAAAGTGCTTCCATCAATCTTGAAAGAATTTATTTTCCTAGTAGCTTTAAATATTTGCCTTAGAGTTTAATTTAATTAATTTTAATTATAATGTATAAGCTTTCTTCAATATATACTTAGTGAAATATGCATAACTTTTGAGATTTTAAATTTGAAGGATTTTCTTATTTTTTATATGTAAATATTAATAAAAAAAGAGAAATAATTAATTTTTGGATAAGTTTTACTTATAAAAGCCAAAAAATATTTAAACGTAAAATGCTGTTATAGGTGTATAACAGCCATTCTCTATAAAAGCCAAAAAAATCTCGGAATAAATGATGATGTTATAGTGAAGTTTGACTATATATATGACTAGAAAAAATAAAAACAATAAATATGACCGACTATTTGTGTAAAGATTCCTAGTTTTTTCCTTTTGTTAACTAGGAACTTAAAGTTGGGCCTTTTAGACTAAAAGTTGAGGGCTTAATTTAGAGAGAAAATGACACTGTAAAGCCGCTGTAAAAATAATAATCGAAAAATACATAAAAATTTATATATATTTTATATATATATATATATATATTGTATGTTATATACAAAAATTATATAAATTTTATATATTTTTTTGGCCACAAGATGTAAATAGTTTCTGGAACAGGCAAAAAATGAGAAATCTCCCAAATTTAGAACTAACAAGCCCAAATTACTGCTAGTCTTTCAGGTTAATATAAGGGATTGGCCCATCAACATCAAGTTCCAGAAACTTCTCTTCCCGCCAATCTGAGTATCGTCCCCGAACTTGCGCCTCCTCCATCTTCCTCTCCGGCGGCGAAAGTTGCTCCTCTTCATTGCCGAAATCTACTGGTACGTTCTATCTTACCTGGATTTTAATGTTTTTATATAAAAACCCAGAATCGTTTACACAAGACACAGCTCAGAGCAAGCTTCTTCTAGGAAAGCTCTTTTGCTGTACAGTTTCGCTATCCGAGACATCAAATTATCGAGTTTAATGCTGGTAAAAATATACAAACAGGAGAGTTAATTAGGGGAGGAACTTCCGTTTTCTAGTCCTTTGAGCATTTACAAGACGCGCATGACGAGTATAAAAGTTGAATTTGAAGAAACCAAATGTGACTTTAATAAAGTCTGTCTTTGCTTTTTCAATTTGCTCTTCCAAATACTACAATTTGCTTTGTAGAGAGAATAGTAAATCATCAAACTGTTGGAATAATGGTTTTAGTATGATACTGGTGGAATGAATGGATTTGCTTATTTCAGTTTCTGTTTGGTTTTTCATCTTGGTCTCTTCCAATATACTTTTTTCATTGTAAGGAGGCTATAGATATGTGGGTTGTGATCTTTTTATGTATTTGGAAAAAACACACAATTATAGACTCCTTACAATGAAAAAAGGTATATTCTATTTTTTTTATCCAAATTGCATGTTTGGCTGTTTGCTATAATGTCTGAAATTAAGATTGAAATCCCAAGATGTCTCTATTTTCAGTTGAACCAAATAAAGCTTCTTGACTTAGACCTGTTATAGAATAGCTTCAGCCTTCAATAGATAAACTAAAACTACTTACAATAGTCAGAGGTACTTAATTAGTTTGATATTAGTGGAGTAACAGAGTATTTGCTGAATCCTAATGTTAGTAGATGAAAATGGTTGTGAGTCTCTTCCAGCTCCTTTGCGCGGAGAGCTGTTTGGGCGGCCGGGGTGGGGGGGGATCTACTAACTTGCTAGTATGGGTTCTTAAATACATTGGAATTTTGCTTGTAGCTTTAGTAGACAAATTCCAAATAAAGCAAAGGTTTTGTCTGATACACAAACATCCCCCCCCCCCCCCCCCCNTCTGTTACTCAAACCATATTCCCCCCCTGCAGTGGTGTCATTTGTCAGTAAATGGGTGAGGAAGATTTGGAAGTTGAAAAAAGTCCAGCATGTGCAAAAGATCAGAGGGAAGATGAAGCTGAAACAAAAGTACGAAAAGTTAAAAAGAATAAAAAGTCACTTAAAGAAGCTGTGAAGGGTGAAAAACGTGGAGTATGTCACGTGCGTAGAGTACCGCCTCGTATGGACCATGTGAAACTTCGTCAGGTTCTTTCTCAGTTTGGAGAAATTCAGAGAATATATCTTGTACCTGAAGGTTGGTTGAGTTCCTTATTTGATCATCGTCTTTAGAGATGTTGGTTAAATGCTTCATTATGCAGCAGTTTGCTCCTTCCCCTTTGCTTAGTTGTCCATATTAATTTACCTTGCTTACAGCTGCTGCTTCTCAAATGAATCGGAAACGGGCAGGTGGGTTCCGAGGACAAGCATTTTCAGAAGGGTATGCTTCATATTGAGGTTTCTTTGATAAAGAAATCAACTTATCTGTTATTTTTCTTTCATTAAAATGATGAAGTCTACATCTTTTGCATCTATGAGATTAAGACGTCCGGAACTGGAAAGTCATTAAACTGTCATTTGTATCTGCAGGTGGGTTGAATTTACGAAAAAGAGTGTTGCCAAGAGGGTTGCAAATATGTTAAATGGTCAACAAATAGGTATGATGCGGCGGTATCTTGATTTTTTTCTTATTCTCGGAAATTCGTTTGGTCCATAGGGTACCATCATGCACGTTGGAGGAAATTTGGCAAATGTTGCTATTTCTTTTCGAGTACTGACTCGTCGCATGTGCTTTTTTTTACACATTCCTGAGGGAAAACACCAATTAATCATACGTTGGCCAAAAGATTGGCTTCGATTACGGGTGGACTAACATGGATTTGCTGTTTTTTTCCATTTGTGTCATAACAATATCCTTGTTTATGACTTCATAAAAAAAAAAACAATATCCTTGTTTATGTTCTTCAGTTCAGCTTTCAACTTCTGCTTTTCTTGTATTCTTAGTGGCCATAAAATGTTAGTGTCTTTACTGCCACATTTTTTGCTCCTATAGGTGGAAGGAAGAGATCAGCATTCTATTATGACATTTGGAATATCAAGTACTTGTCTAAAATCAAATGGGATGATATTACTGATGAAATTGGTATGCTCTTCTTTTTAATTTATTTGGTAATGCTGCATCCTTTAGTCTTTTTTCACAACTTAGCTGATGTGTTTCAAATATTTTTGCAGCAAAAAGGCATGCAGTTCACGAGCAGAAACTAGCTTTGGAGCTTTCTGCTGCTACAAGGGAGCGTGATTTCTACCTTACACAAGTTGATAAGTCCCGTGCTTTAAGTTCTATTGAAGAACGAATAAAGAAGGTCAGTGAGTCATTTTAATGAATTCATTTTGAGTAGGTTTTTGAACTCCCTTGATTGAATTTCGTATTTATCATCTCAGTCTGCCTCCCTCTTGAGTTTCATTCTTAATGTTTTCATTGTATGTTTAACTCTAAATAGCTAAAACTTGAGGCAATCAAGATGTGAGTCCATTTTTCTAAACCTTTTTCGGCCCATTTGTCTGTAAGTTTTTCATCAACAGCTTATAGTGTAGATTGCTAAGATATCAATTGGTCTTTAAAAGTTTCTTTTGTCAAAACAAAAGATAATAAGGATATGTATTGTGGGCGAAAAAGAGAGGGAATGGAGAAGCAACTGTAACTATCTTCTCCACGCCCCGAATATTATTCAGCAATTTACTTATAGGCTTATGCTCTGTTTTAGACTTTTATTAGTATAGGTATTCGACCACGCATTTTTGTGTACCTTATGCTATCTGTCTTTCATAGTTGAGTAATATGATCCTATACTTTCAACTGTACATCTTTTCAGAGGCAAAAGGTCCAACAAGAATCTGGGGAAATTTCTAATCTCCCAAGTGAACAGTTTGAGCCAAAGGTGATACGGCAATTTCCCCAGAAAAAACCTGTGGCAGATGAAGCTGGGAAAATCAAGCCAAGTCTGTCCAAGGACATTTTGGCCGGAGTAAGTCCCCTTCCCACCTTTCTACCCCGATCACCTCTTGCTACCTTTAACATCAAAAAAAAAAAAAAAAAACCGTTCACCTCTTGCTGAAAACTTGCTTATTTTCTGATGGAATTTGCTCTTCACCTTTTACAGGTATTTGGTGGTCAATGATTAGAGCGTTTGCGTGCCAACAGATTCAGAAAGTTCCTCTCTTTAATTTTTTCGAGGGCAAAATTAATCTTCTAGGTGGTCTAAAAATTTCACCTAGGCTGTTATTAGATGTTGGAAGCATAGTTGAACCTTGAGCAATGTTTTGTTTTTATGTGCGGTTAATTTTAGATGGCATTGTTCGCAATAAATTTTCGTGATTCAAAAATAAATTGCAACCACAATATAAATATTAAGAAACATAATTTTATTCATAAAAAGGTGCGGGTACATTTCTGTTTATCCCCTTGATTCTTCTCTCCCGATTATCTCCGTGATTCGAGGGCTAGAACAACGTGTTTTTCGAACGTAGGATGGTGCGGGCTTTCATGGATTTATTTGATATTGTGGATCTTCTTGAAGTATTTGATTATCAAGAATTATCCGGCCACTTCTTGATCTCTTTGTGAATATCTCGTGAGTTTATGGGATTTTTGAGATGATCTCCATTTTTGAGATATTTTTTAAAGGATTATGTAACCCTTTTTATAAGAGTGACCTAGGGTTTTGGTAGAGTAGCCTCTAAGCAACACTGACAGACTCCTAGAATTTCAAGAGGTCTTGTAGTATCTTGAATTTAGGATTTAACTCGATCCATTAAGATTTCGATGTCTACAGGCATATCAAATATGTTTGTTGTTTATATAGGTAGAACAACTTATCTAAATTAAAATCAATTATCGTATTTCTCATGGATCATTTCATGTATGAATCATTACAGTTAGCTCTAACTGGTCACAACTGATACGGTATGTTATCTGAGAGAGAAGTATTGGGTTCATCTATGCTATTTGTTTACCTGGTCAACAACTATTGTTCTTATTCATGGTATTACTTACATAGCAGCTGTTTGGAATCTTTCAGTTAGTGCATGTTCATAATCTAACAAAACTTGGTGGAAATCTGTCCAAAAGTATTAAGTAGCTATCATATTCTTCCTAGTTCTATAGCAAAATGTTGCCCCTGGGACTTTGATCTAGTTGTAAGAACTTAGCTTGTAGTATGTGGGTTATGTGCACGTTACAGGCTTGCTTGAATCGTGGCGCAATGAAAAGCTTGGTATTTAGCCTAATATTTAAGTGGAAAAGGATAAATACGTGGGGTCATTATCTACCAAGTTTCAACTGTACCACACTAACTGGAATTAAAGGCAGTCCTCAAGAACCTATTTATTCTTAATAATACAAGTAAATTGGGTTATACATACGAGGAACTGAATCTGATATGAAATATCATAGACAATATACTGATGATATAACGTTAAAAAGTTACGAGTGTAAAAGATGAAAACGGCTCTCCAGCTTTGACTTATTGTTTTATTACTGTTTTTATTTCAACTTCATTATATTGCTGCTATGCTAACTACTTTATCACTAGATTGTATTTCTTTTTATCAATAAAATTATTATTCCCCAATGTTAAGTTTATAGATAATATTGTTGTTCCCTCCATTCGATTTGTTTGTCCTAGTTTGACTTGATACAAAGTTTAATAAAAAGAGGAATACTTTTGAAACTTATGGTCTTAATTATGTCATAATATTTGAATATGTTAATCTTTTTGAAACAAACTAATAAGAAAATAGTGTCAATATTTTGAAATGTGAGTATTAAGGAATCCCAAGTAGAAGAGGAGATAATACCGTTGGATTTCCACCCCGAAGATTGCTCATCTTTGAACTAAAAAAATCAGATTAAGAAGAGGGGGTGAAGGGATTAAAAAGGGGTCAGTAGGAGGAGCATTCTTTTGTTGTTGGCGTCATTAGGTATTAATATTATATTATTTTTTTATAAATAAATACCTGGATTATTGTATCACGAAATTGATAAAACTTATACAATTTTATATTTAGAGGTTATTCTAATTGTAAGTAATAGCAGAGTGATACATTCTAGTTTCATTCGTATGTATACAATCAACTAATATTCAATGTGTCAAATTTACATACGAAAAGACTCAAAAGTTGGAATCAAACAAAGGGTATCTATACATGCAATTATGAAGTATATTTGTCAATTGAATTTTTTTGATGTCAGTAATTATTACTACTTTGTAGGCATATATCATGAAATTGACAATGATCTGCGTACAGAGTAAAATATATTTATATTAAATGATAGCACGAGAAAGCGATATGTGGAGCCGAAGACAGAAGATAGTTAAATCCGAAGGCAACGAACATGTTTGTTACCACAGAGGATGACTCATAAAGATGAAATAAATGCATGCCATCCGGTAGCATTTAATGAGGAATATTTTACTGCATTAAGTACACGGCCCGTTACAAGGAATATGACATTCACTGCCTACCGTTACATATTCTTCAATGACCTTCATAATTGACATTAAAGAGGGGTTTGATCCTAGGACCTTGTTCTTCAGGTGCATCTATAAATAGTAAGCTCTATTATCATTGTAAAGAACACGAATTTTCTGACAAACATACGCTACACACTATTCAAATCTCAATATAATTTTATCTTCTTGTTTATTGATCACACACCCTAATCACTTCATACATAAAACGACAACCAAAGTAGTGTCAAACAACCTAAAAAATGTAACGACGAACGACCAACAACCACCCTGACATTATGTGGTGTTTGTCCACACCTTTTCTCCTCCCAAATCCATAAAAGTAGTAGCAAAATAGGCAACCCAAAAGCAACACGAAACAACCCACAAGTTCAGCAACTCAAAATTAATTTTTTCAATTTACTAAAATACGTTTCGATTTTTCTTTTCTTTCAATTGAGCAACACAACCAACAATACATAATTAAGCCTCTTATCCAATAAACCAGCCATAAATTCAACTGAAAAATAACTTTACAACCAGCCAACAATGATGCAACAACAAACAACATACCACTCTTTCGATACTCGCTAGGTCTAGTCTTTACGATCGAGTTACAACTCGTACATCTTTCTTATTGTACCCGGAAGCCTTCTCCCGGAATTACTATTTCTGTTGTTTTATCTCCATCTCAAGGCTAAGTATTACATTTTTATCTAATTCATCTATTATTTTGGGATCAAATTAATTCATTTGTTTATAGATCACGTATAAATACAAGTGTATCATTTTACGGATAAACAATGTGTTAACCATCCTAATCGAGATATATGATGATAGCTTCTACAAAATTCTCCAAGCATACTTTACTAACCTTATTAAAATACTCCAAGCCTACGTGGAAGCCACCCATTATGACCAAAAGTGTCAAGTTCTAGAACATCTCAATTCTCAGCAGCCGAATAGAAGTTTAATTAAGATCAACCGAATAGAAGTTGCCTTCCATAAAGTCAAACTTTCTTTTCCTTGTTCAAATAATACAACTGACTTTTCCACCCTGCAGTCTGCACCTTCAAGTAAAAGTCTTTTTTCCATCTCTCTGTTTTAATTTATATATAAACTCAAAATATATAACTCCCTTAGGTTCATTACATCCCCTTCTCCATCCGACTAAAAAACAGAGGGAACGAAATTTTACATTGAATTGCAGTATATGAGCCATGTTTAGCTTTACAAGTCAAGATGGGCTCGTCTCTCTTCCAAATATTCATCTCCTCATCCTCCTGTTCGTATTATTATGTCCGATGATTCCAAGTGCGGCGGCACAGCCATCAGATTCTTCTTCTGGACCGGACAATCGGTTTCGGTACCCAACTGTCAGCCCAGCAATGGCTGCTATCATAGTGGTTCTCATAGCTGCCCTGTTTTTTATTGCTTTTTTCTCAATTTACATCCGCAACCGTAGCGCCGCTAACGGTAACAGCATCCGTCAAACACTTTCCATGCGCCGCCGTCGTGCTGCTGCTGCTACACGTGGACTCGATAATTTGGTCATAGAGACTTTCCCCACTTTTACCTACGCCGAAGTAAAGGATCATCATATCGGTAAAGGAGCTTTGGAATGTGCTGTATGTTTGAACGAATTTGAAGATGACGAAACGCTGCGTTTGATCCCTAAGTGTGATCACGTTTTCCACCCTGAATGTATCGATGCTTGGCTCAAATCTCATGTCACTTGCCCGGTTTGTCGAGCTGACCTTAGTACTCCTCAACCTGATGAACCGCCGGTTCAAGCCCCTGAGGTACTAGATCGCGATCAAGCCCAAGAACAACAAGGGACAGAGAATTTGCAGCAAAATAACGAGGTTTCAATACAAATAGAGAGTGATGAAAATTGTATGCTACAGCAAGAGGAGACCTCTACTGGAAAACCGAAAGCTAATCGAACTTTAAGTTTCAATGTGCCGAACCGGCCGCCGAGGTCTTTTTCTATAAAGAGGCCAAGGATGTTTAACAAGTTCAGGTCACATTCGACCGGCCACTCGCTAGTGGTACCGGGGGAGAATTTGGACCGGTACACTCTCAGATTACCGGAGAATGTTAGAAAAGAGGTAATGAACCGGGCACTACTGAACCGGACAAAGAGTTGTGCAGTCACTATACCAAGATATGGTAGCACTAGAACAGGGTACAAAACCGGAACCGGAGAGGGAAGCAATATTGGTGCGAGGTCATTCAGGAGAATTGACCGGTTCGATCAGGAAGGAAAGTCAGACCGGTGGGTTTTCAAGATTGCACCACCGTTCTTTAGTAGAGGTCTATCGATTAAGTCACCAAAAGTAAGGCCAGATATCGAAGAGGGGTCGACATCGCGCAGTGTGAAGATGGCAGTCAAAATGCCGTCGTTCAAATGCTTAGAGCCAAAAGGTGATGAACCCGGTTTGCTGACAGATGACTCGGCTCGGCCTCCGGCCCGATGATGAACCCGGTTTATATAAGATCCTAAAATCGGCACCTTTTTAATGCTTGACTTCAATAGCGTGGCGGAAAGGGCAATCTTTTGGTGGGCTGTGTAAATGAGGAGAAAGAGTGGTCAATGCTAGTTTGGCACCCCAACTTGGAAACTTCTGGCATAGACTTTATTGCAAAGTATAATGCTAAAAAGTTGAAATTCAAGAATATCGCTTTCTAGAAATTCATTTAAATGTTGATTAAATTATTATTTTAGAAGCAAATAATGTTCAACTTAAGGGGGTTTTCAGGGTTTATCTAGTAGGTGGTTTTAGTAATTAAGACACCGTCATGATGTAATTATGTTTGATTTCATTCTTCGATGCATTTTTGAGAATAGAAAATCTGAAAGGAAATAGACTTGTTGATACTTATTTTATTTCCTTGGTCAAGATGATGGTGCTGATTTTGATTTTCTTATTGTCTGCAAATGGTTAGGTCAGACTAGATAGGCCCCTAAAATATTTGGCAACCGGGTTCGCTATCCTTTATCTTCTAAACAGTTATATCCCAAAGGCCATGTACACAGGGGCCAATGTAGCTCAATAATATCGGGTTCAATTGAACCCATAATTTTCGACGCGGAGCATAAATTTGTGTACAAAATACCATTAAAATCGTAATAAATTACAGACATGAACCCATAACTTTAGGATATAATAGGTTTAATACTAAGAACCTTAAAAGTTGAATCTATAAAATTTAAATCCTGAATCTGTCTCTGCATGTACATGTGCTTTTTAACAATTCTGCAGCCTTGAAATAACAGAAGGATGAAGTTAATTGCTCTTAGTTTGTACTCCCAACCATTGTTGTTTCAAAATTACTCTTTTTGATTTACAATAAAGAAATAAAAGAAAAAAGAATGCAGCAAAAGATGCTAAGGGCATGACGGCAACTCAAAGTGTTTCTTAGTACTAGTTATTTTGAGTTTATGACTCTATTACCTTTATTTTCGGGATTGTTACACAGATAGCCTATCGGATTCATTGTTTACTTTTTCTAGCCGATATATATAAATTATACAATGATTATACATAGTTATACATATATTATATATGAATTTTACATATATCCGCCAACTATTTTTAGTTTAAGAAATTAAGTAGATGGCTATTTGAGTTAATTCTTCTTATATTATATTTATTAGGACTTAAGACCTAATGACTTGACATTTTTAGGAGCAGTACTTATTTAACTTTATTTATTATTTATTGAATTTTCATGCTAACAAGCCTTTAAAAAATAGGTATTAAAGTGGCAGGACCGTCACCCCTTTTGTCCAGTAATTATCAACGTAGTGTGAAAATAAAAAAGAAGAATTACCCCAAATAGCCTTCCACTTAATTTCTTAAACCAAAAAGTATCTGTGTAACAATCCCATAATATAAGTACACGCGGCTTCTATCTAAAAAAATATAAGTACCTTGAGAAGTAAACCATTTGGTTCTGCATTTAAGCTTGTATAAAAACATATTGAGAAGTAAACTTAAATAAGTACCGAAGCATTCATACTTCTTCCTAATTCTACAGTAAAATCTGCACTAGAGTTTGTATAGTTATATTAGGCGTAATGGTTCCTAGCCACTTAACTTGTAGGGGTTTTAAAAGTCGATACACAAACTTTGGACTTTTTCATTTGAACACTCAAACTCATGATTCTCTTAGCTAATAAACACTTCTGACCCTTGAGCCTTTTTGCGCTTGTATTACACATACACAGACGTGTCCATCCAGTCAGCAAATGATCCATCCAGTCAGCAAATGACTAATGCGATTGTTACACGTCAAGGGTGCGAAAACAAACCCCAACTGATTGGGGTCCCCATCTTTTAGTCAATAGACCGACCAAAATCAGCCATGAACTTCCATAATATCCACCATTTTTCACTTCTAACAAAATTCATATAATCCATACCCCAATTACAAGTCAAAGAATCGATGAGCCACCTTCTAAAATTCCGTCGGGGCAAAAAAGAGCCGGCGAAGATATGTCAAAGAAGAACACGAATGGTGAAATCCAAAGAGAGAAGAAGTCGGACTTCTCGTAATTAAAAATTTTCACCCAAAATTCGTCATTTTTTTGATGGTCTTCTCTTTTCTCTGTCTGTCTTCCAGTTTGAGAGAGGGAATTAATGTGAGAGAAAAGATTGACACAAAAATTTTGATAAAATTTATTGTTTTTCTTTGTTTTTCACCACTGCTGCCTGGGCTTGGAACAAACAGATGAAGAAGCGGGGAAAGATTGGA